GGTAGTCAGCTGTGCGCGCTGTGGACCGGCAATCATGATGATGATGCTAGTTATTTTTGGATGAGTGCTTCGGATCGCATCTTTTAGCGGCTTGTAAGCGAGCACTCCATAAACGATACGATATTCTGTAAATGCTACCGCATCGATTTGCGTGCGATGTGTGTCAAGTAGATGCAATCGCGCCGGGCAGCAATCGAATCGATTTGCCTGCAAATTAACGATTCGGCTATACTGGGTATCGTAGCGGTCGCTACTTTCTACCCCTTGACTATATATGCAATATTTATTTCTACTTTTGAGCTTTATGAAATTCAAATCTGTAGCTGAAGATGCGTCCGCTCCGGCCAAGCAGGAAGTAATATCTGTTGGGTGGGCATCATAGGAGGCGGCCAAGACTAATTAAATTGATGCCGCAGATGCCGCTGACAAAAATCATAGCCACAATTAACCGTTGAAGAAATACCAACTTGTCAAGGGCAATCAGTGTGGCAAAGCCGGGCCACGATCGCCTGCTCTTGTGGCACAGCCTTAGGCTCTATCTGTTGCTGTTGTTGTTGCGCTTTGTGGCTCATTGATCATGTAGCCGGCGCGTCCCTGACGATGATGAGCATAGGAAACACAAAACGACATGTCAACTATAACCACCCATCGATCGGACGACGTTTGCAACGACTTTGGCCAGCAACAACAACTAGCAACGACAAGTAACAACATTTATCAACGCTTGGCGATCTACAGCAAAGGCAAAAGGCACGATGCTCAGTTTTAACAGAGCAGCTAAGATATAGAAAGAGATAGAGGCAGAGCGAAAGATAGAGAGGGGCAGCGATAGATAGAAAAATAAAGAGAGAAAGGAATGCATAAGACTAGAGAGCTTACTAGAGATGAGCAAGGGCATCTGCCTAGCTCAAGTGCCTGTCAACTCATATATAATTTTACATGAAGTTCTTTTAAAAATAAATAAAAATATATAAATATTTATAACTTCAGATTAAACTCAAATGAAACTCAATACTAATGCATAATTAAATTCATAATAATTATATTAAGATATTGAAGAAGATGATCTACCTTTCACACTAGTAAACTAAAGTAATTTTGTCTAAAAAAACATATGCGCTCTACACTTCTTAACTGACTATACATAATGGTAGAGTCATAATAAAGATAATGATCTAATAAGTAAGCTCTTCAAAATATTTAGTACTCTTTCTGCTAGCACGCGTTCATCTCTATTGCCAGCAAGCTGGCAACAAGTTGATGCGGCAGGACTGTGACGAGACTGCAACTGACTCAACGAGTTGCACTTAGCGACAACTAACGCCACGCTTGTTGTTGGGTCATGTTACTTGAGGCGCAGAACTTGATCGAGTCATGGGCCTAGAACTGAATGCGGTCTGTGGATGGATTTTACAGTTAAGGTCGCTCACACTGCGAGGCTGGCTGGCTGGCTGACTGACTGACACTGGCTAAGATCGCTGACAGGTTGGCAGAGACTGTTAACCATATGAGGACGTTGCGGTAGGGGCATTGGGTGTCGCATGCTGGCCACGATCGCTCACATTTTGCATATGCCAAAGCCATAAAGTTTACATGCTCGCCGCTCTGATGAGCCGCGCAATATCGGGGCAGTTGTCCACGACTGTCGAGCATCGAGCTTAGAGCGTAGAGCGTCAAGCGTCGTGGCTGCTCTGTCAGCTGCAATTTCTCCGCAGGCATTTGATTTATGCGCTGCAATCGTTGACGATCATCATCGCTCGCTCACTTGTCGAGCGAGACCCAGATCATATCTGTTGCTCCACATCCGCGCAGCGATTAAGCAATATGTTTTTGGCCTTAACATGGCTGCATTTGGCATTTGGCGGCAGCAGCAGCACCACCACTACCAACGGCAGCAGCGGCAACAGCAGCCCCCACATGAGACACCCGCTTCACTGGTTTGTCTTATCTATGTGATCTGCAACGGTGGGGGTTACGAAATCTGAATCCAAATCGAAATCGAACGCGAATGCGAATGCGAATCGCGGCGCTGACTTGCGCGAGAGTTACCAAGATTAATGTTGATGCTTTTTCAATTACAACTCTGGCAGCATACAAATTTGGAGTAAAACGTAATCGTCGTAATCTCAGACGTCCTAAACGACGACAACCACGACTCCCAGCTCCAACTCGGCCTAGCCCGGCCTGGCCTAGCCTGGCCTGGCTTGGCTTGCCCCGCTCTGAGTGACTGCCTAAGTGGCTGCTGTGGCTCTGACTCGGATTCGTATTGCATTTCCTAATGTTTGTTTTGCATGAGCTTTGTTTTGCTTCTCTGTTGTTGTTGTTGTTGCTGTTGCTGTTGTGTGACATGCGCCGCCGCTCACTGATTTGCCCCGACTTTGTCTTCCGATCCCGTGATGGCCAAAAAGCCTCCTTCGATCTCCTCCTCCTTTCCATGGCAGGCAATTACAAATGCTGCGACTTGTATCATGGCCAGCCATCGATTTGTATGGCAGCGACTCGTATGTTGCTTGCAAATTCGATCGCATCTTGTACCCGATTGACTCGACTCGGGTTGCTTTGTCAATTGTAATTTGTTATCTGCTCCGCTTCGAGCTGAGACTCCAATCCGAATGGATCTGCGCCACAAAGTTGCTGCTGCTTCAGGTGGCTTTTCTCGTCGTTGTTGTTGTTGTTGCTGCTGCTGCTGTTGCTGTTATTGTTAGTCATTCAATCAAAGGATTTGCGTGTGTGTGTGTGAGTGTGCTGCGATGGCTCAGCAATGATTAGCTACGAGTTTTGCGGCGGCAGGACAATGGCAAGCCTGTAGCCTGGCAAAAGGATGCCGCAACAATAAGACAACACAAAGGCGGCACAGATCTTACGGCCAGAAGCCAAAAGAATTATGCAGTCGCTTGTAGGTCACTAGGTGACACGGCAACAAGGCAGACAACTGGGCGACAGGTATAATACACTTGAAAAAATAAAGTTCGTTTCTTAAATAAAATAATTTTGCTATAAATAATTAAAGTTCATATTGATTATGACAAAAATATTAATTAAAATTTGTATAGAAAGATATTGATAGAAAAGCTGTTGAAGTCTTCATCATCACAGCACTTCCTCTTGCTATGATTTCTAGAGCATTTCATTTCATTTCATGTTTCATATATATTTTTCGAGATCTTTTATTAATATTCTATGCATGCAAATTTAAAAAGGCAAGCCTGAATATATTATATTTAAAATATATATACAGTACAGCAAATAAGTGCCATTTTACTTCAGATATTCGTTTTTTTAAGTACCTGTCTACTTGTAAGGGAGATCTTCTTCACATTTATATAATACAGATATAAAATATATTTATATATAAATATTAAAAATATGAAATATTGATTTGATATTTTACATTTTATTTAAATTATATAAAATACAAATATGAACTATATATGAATACTCATAGCTCGTCTTAAATAGCTAAATTCTAAGCCCGATATGGGATGGGCATAAATTAGGATGAACACTCTTGTTTAGGCTTACATTTTTTTCAGTGCAGCTTCTACAGCTGACTTCGGGTCAGTCTCTGTGTGCGAAAAAGGTAAGCAAGGTGTTTTTCTCACAGCCTCAAACTCTATGTCCTGCAGTTTTCTACAATATTTTTTTACTTTTTGCAGTTGCACAAGCGACGCGCTCTGATTACCGCGAAAAGAAGAAAAGAGTGTACTTGCAATGATAGTCCTTTGTTTTGGCCTAAAGTGTCGTTCTAGGAATGCGATTTTATTTTTTATTTTTTATTGTGTATTATTTATGGCCAAAAGGTGTTGCCAGTGCCACTAATATGATAACCCAAAGAAATGGTCTTTAGTTTGATTCCCTACGTTGTTGGCTTGTAGTTAGTATCGCAGTGGAAACGTGACTGTAACCTGTATGCGATAGGGCACCATTTGCTTATCAACACAGACAGGTAATTATATTAGACGATTTGGTACCATTTGCATTATCGAGCATGCGGAGCAGAAGGTACACAGCAAATGTTGTTGAAATGTGCCCAGATAAGAGCCAAAGCGCCTATTGTTGCCATTGATATGGCTTAAATGCACTACAAACTACCGTCTAGTGTCTGCTGTCGAGTGTTTACTGTAGATTCTACCGTCTGTCATGTCAATCAGCTAATTCAAACAGTTTTCGATAAGCAGCCGTTGTCGCTGCTACGTCTATCACCTGCGACAGGACGCATGCGCCGAGATCCTTTGAGCAAACAATTGAGCCAAAAGGATTGCTGCCAGCGACAAAAAAGGACGAATAGCAGGAAACGTGCTTCGATAATGTCCTCTGGCAGCTAATTAAATATTTGCGTTTGCCAAAGGTGCAAAATTTTCCTTGCCACGAATTGATGAAATATTAGGGGCGGGTTAAGAGGAAGTCCTTTGAAAACGAAAGTGGAACCTTCGACTCGTTGTTTACCTATGGAAAGGTGTATTCCGAATTCGATATTGTTATATTGTATAGTTGGGGATTTTGAAATCAAATACACAAATATAGTGCAAATTCCAATGATGTTGAAATATGATCGACGCAGCGGAAGCAAGAGCGATTTCCTCTAGAAAGATCTGAGGAAAATTATGAAACACAATGAAATTTCTTTTGTCATGTTTGAAATTTTATTTTAATAAAAATATATATATGTGCCTTAAAAAGTATCAAAAGATCTTAACATTAACATTGGCTAAACATAATAAAAATGGTTCATAAATTATATAAGATCAATAAAATCTATGAGCTAAACGCTTAAATTTGGTCAAATGCTGTCTGATAATTGTGGCAAATTTACAAGAACTTAGCAGCTACAAATGAAATAAATATGATATGCTAGATCTAGAGTCTTAAGGTATAGCACCAGAACCGATAGGACCTTAAGTTAACTATGAGTTGGAGCTCGATTATTGTCTAGTTTGGTTTGGTTAGGTTTAGTCCTCGCCAGCGGAATGTGTGTGGTGTGTGTTGAGTCTGACACCAGTCTAGACAATTGTAATAGTGCAATTGGAGCTGGTGTGCTTGTTGAGCAGCGACATGCGCGAGAAGGACTTGTGGCACACCTGGCAGGCGTACTTCTTCACGTCGACGTGCGTCTGCTGGTGGGCACGCAGATTGGAGCGATCGGCAAAGGAGCGCGGACAGTCGGGGCACTGGAAGGGCTTCTCGCCCGTGTGCGTGCGGATGTGTCCCTGCAGCAGCCATGGTCGCGAGAAGGCCTTGCCGCAGATGGGGCACTTGCAGGGCAGCGTGTGGGTGCGTATGTGCATCTTGAGGGCGCCCACTGTGGTATAGAGCTTGCCGCACTCTTCGCACGAATGCTGCTTCTTCTCCTGGTTGCACTCGGCGGCTGGGCAATGGAACTGGCGATGCTTGGACAATCCCATCGAGGTTGAGTACATCTTCTGGCAGTTATCGCATTTGTAGCGATAGTTTTTAGCAGCGGCTGAGACACTGGTGTTGTTGCTGCTCGAGCCGGAGCTGATGCTGGCGGCATAGGAGTAGTTGGCGACGCTGTTGCTGCTGCTGCTGTTCTGGCTGCCTGTGCTGCTGCGTGCCTCGTCGAAGAGGTGGAACAGCGCTGGCAGCGGAATGTCATTGCGCACAGAGAGATCCTCTGGCTCGGAGCTGGCATCCGAGCCAGGGCTCGATGGCGGCGTCATCTGCTGATAGCTGTAGACCGAATGCGGCGAGGCCAATGAACTGGCAGGCGATGGGAATGCGGCGGCATTCAGATGTGGCTGATAGCTATTCCATAGCGCCGAGATCGGATTGCAGCCAGCGGCCAGCACAAAGGCCGATTGATACGGATTCGTTGTGTAGCCGGCAGTGGCTGCTGTCAGACCGCGCATGTGTATATCAGTGGGCTGGTAATCCTGGCTGTTGGGCTCTGCGGGCGGCGAGAGCAGAGCGGAGCTGAGCGGCGAGCTGGCGCGCCGTGGTGTCAGTGGCGTCTTCGACAGATTCAGCACATATTCACGCTTGGCGGGCAGCTCATAATCCTCAAAATCAATATCACAAGCTTTACGCTTGAGCGACAGATCCTGTGGCTGCTCCTCCTGGTATTGTTGTTGTTGCTGCACTGGTGCAAACTGTGAGCTCTTGGTCAATGCCAAGGCCTCCGTTTGCGGCAGCTCCTCCACGAAGACAATGGGGCGCTTCTTTAGCGGGCAGCTCTTGTAGTTGGCGGCCATGTCGATAGTTGTGTGAGTTGTTTTTAATGTTAATATTTTAGTTTGTGGAAATGATCGTTTTCGGTAACGCGTAGTTCCGCAGCACTAGAGATTGATACGAGATCGAGCGAGTTGCTTACTCAACGAACGATGAGGTTGCTGTGACAGGTCGAGGGCCGAGCGAGCTCTTTTATATGCTCGGGGCTGCTGCTGCTGCTTCTGCTGCCTGCCTGACATTTGGTGGTGGTTCTTCTTCAGTTCACACACTCATACACGCACACTCACTCATGTGCCGACGCAGGGCGCACGTGTACGTCGCTAGGTAGCAGCAACAACAACAATAACAACGTCGACGGCGACACACGCACACATACAGCGACACTTTTCCCATACCCTTATTGCGTGTTTCCCATTTGCTGTTCTCTCATTCGCTTGCTCTCTCGCTCGCTCTGCCTGGCTACGCTTACCTGACTGCGCTCTCAGCGAGGCACTCGACAGAGCTCCTTTGGAACTCGGAGCATCCATCGCAGGCGCACCCTCAGTTTTGGTGTCAAGCTCCCTGGCAGGCGCTACGATCAGCACTCGATAACTTATGACAGCTTCTCACTTACAGTGCGCTCGCTGTCTCTCTCGACCTCATCGACGTTTCTCGAGCTTCTCCTGTTACCCCGCACAGACGTGCTGTAATAACTCGTCAAACCCTAGGCACTGTCCCACCCAGTCCCTGCAGCACTTGGAACGTTGCGTCAATCGCTCTTGCAGGTATTGTTAGCATCCATGGAATTTGAGTTTCGCTTTCACTCGCCTCGTTTCGCCAGCTCCGTGCGTTGAGTTTCTATTTTTAGGCGTTGGCATTTTTCACGAGTCAAATTGGATGCCCGAACTATCCGTTGGGGTAGTTTTTGAGGCACATCTGCCTGCCACTGTGCTGGTGGGGAGGCAAATTGAACCTGAGCTGTGCCGGCATTACAATTGACATTGCACCTAGGCATAGATATATAAATAGATGCGACGCCTCATCGAGTATGTTAGCTCTTGGGTGCACTTTATGCTAACTTATTATCGCTCAAGTTGCAGCGATTACTTGGCAACACTCCAGTTGGGAAATGGTGCTGTGTATGTGCCACCTTTGACTTGAGCTTACCTCATTATACGACGTAAACAACGAACCCACATCTCCTCAGATCACGCTCTGCACATATGAGAGTCGCACATCCTAGAGACTTCCTGGTTGGGAAAACAGTTCAGCCCGCATAGCCAAGTTCCCAAACTGATTTCCCAGCCATCAAAAAAACCAAATCACACGCATTTTTCCCCATTCCTTGCCGTTTCCCAGGGCAATGTGTGAAGAGCAAAGAAAAAACCGAAGCAAATGTAGCAAACCCAAAAGTTTTGATAAACCCAAGCGATGACAAAAAGTACAAATTTCCAAGTGCTAAAATTCCAATTCCCAAACGCGATCGCATTCCCAGGCTGAGACTGACCAATCGCAGCGTTCGACTCTCGCCTGGACCATGGGTGTGATGGAAGATGCGGCAAGTAAGCAAAATGTATTTCCATTTTGTATTTTCCCTATGATGGATTTTCCTCCTTGGACAGGCAATCATATACGCGAACAAGCGTCCGGATATGGATCAGCATTGGATTTAAAGTAATTTCCCAGGTTATCCAATTACGCAGTCAGCGAAACTCAAGCAAAACAAGCCACGATTGGCCAGTGGCCAAGCCAAGACGCATCGCGGGAATTTTCTCGCCCAGAGATGATGCCTCCCGATCCTACCTGACGGGCGTTTCCGACCATTTCGGTTATTACGTGTGTTATTCCGCACAATTACCAACCATGGCATCCACAGGCAACTACCTAATGATCACTATTCTAATATCGACGCGGAATTGCCAGCAGGACAACGCGAAATAACCCGCGCTCGACCGCGATTCATTCATCAGGCGGAGAAACCCAGGAACCTTTTGCGTTGTTCGTAGACCCTAGCACTTGTCGTCCTGCAATTGTCAAGTACCTGCTGGGATTTGTGCCGGGGCTAGTCCGCTCATTAGCATTAGCTTGGGATTATTGTATCGCGATGTTTCCGCCAACCGCACTTCATTCATCAGGCAGCGCGGCTGGAAAAACCCCTTTCCCCGACGACGATCTTTGCCTGATTCCGTTAGAATGTACGCAGGTGCGCCTACGGTTTTCCTGACCCTGTTGTGTTTTCTTCTTTTTTGCAGACAATGAGCCCGTCCCATTTTTGCACCTTGTCTTCTCTGCATTATTGCAGTGCACAATGCATTCTATAGGGTATTGCTCTGTATTGTTGGAAGACTAAAGATCGGCAGATGAACAGCGTAAATAGAGCGAAAATGGAGCATGGAGATGCATGGGGTGAAGTGCCTTAAGAGAAGAGTATATTTTGCTCTATATTTTATCTTCTGAAAGTTTCATGTCTTTTCATATGAAATTCCGTTAGCTTAGATTTGGCGCCCTTTCGCACTCACTCAGAGTTTATCTCGCTCTCAGGCATCGTCTCTCTTTCGGTTAGTGCAGCCTGGCCCGGTGCACTGGCGCACCTTTTGCCAAAAAAAATATCAGAAAAGCGAAAGAAAATAAAGAAGGGAAGAAAAACCACCAAAGAATACAAACTATGGCCCAAGATATACGATGTGTGATGTCGTTGACAATGAATGGTTGATTACTACCCCCAGGCCAGATCCTCGGAGCAACTGCTGGCCTGATGCCAGTCGTTGTTGTTGCTGTTTTTGTTTTTCATTTTTTTTTTTGCACAGACAAAAGAACTTCCAATCCATAAATCGAAATCGAAGCCAACAACAACTGAGCATTGGAATGTAAGAAATAGAGAACGAAGAAAATCACTGCCACGGGCCTAGGACCGGGTGCATTGCACAATCAATAGGCCTTAGGACATCATGACACAATAAAAGACGGACAGACAGACTGAGAGACGGCAAAAGATCGACCGACTGCGCACACACATTGGAGTAAATGTTTTGAAAAGCCAGCGAAAGGAATTGCTTCCAGGAATCTACTATCGCTGCCGGCGGCGTATCAATGTCCTTAGCCAGAAGAAATCAAAAAGTTGGATCACCTGGCCGCATCGAGTTGTCCGTCCGCCAGTCCGTTTGTCTGCGATTATGTGCGGGTGCCGCTTAATGTTTAGCTGCTACCTGTGATCCATTGTTCTCGCCAAATTGTGAATTGTGAATGACCCCGCAAAGGACGCCAACCCCCAAAGAAGCTTCCCTACCTGTCACCTGCCATCTGCCTTGACTCCCGATGCCGAGACACATTCGCGCAGGTTTCGTGCCTATTCACGCTTCGTTATCCTGTCAATGCGTCGGCATTATGCGCATTGTGTGTCAACGCGTTGTCCTTGACGTCCTTAAATCGAACTCAGTCGCCCGATTCCCCAGCTACGTCTTCTTCTTTACCTCTGTCTTATTAGTAAGCTGATTTTGTACAGCGTTCATGCTACGGCCTCTACTAAGCGTGCTGTTTAGCCTATTAAATGTGTCTCCTAAATGAAGTGTATAAATATTTTATAATTATGTTGCGGTCATTAGGACTTGAGCAATGCTCTAGGAGGTCCTAAAGGCAAACAGTAGGAAATAAGGAAGAAAGGAAAGGAAGGAAGAATAAAACAGGCTGAGACAAGTTAGTGAAAGTATTTAACTGGACATTATATTATATAATCTTACAAATTTGACGTTTCCTTAGCTAAAGCAATACTTGTAGAAAAATTATAGACAACTTTTGAGATGACATTCAGAATTTTGAAAAATTTCAACATTTTTTATCTGACTGAAATGTGATTAGAAGATAGAAAAATATGATTGCTGGCAGAAAGATATGTCTAGAGGATAACCCACAACTTTAAGTGAAACTTCAACTTCAATTGAAATGAGAAAAGGACTCGATATAGTTCAAGGGAACCCCATATATTGTAGTATAAGTTAAATGTATGTGATTTTTAGAGTATCTTATGCTAGAAGAAACTAAAATCAATTAAAAACATAATTCGAAATATGCTGAAAAAAATGTATATCAAAATATAACTAATTCAGTCATAAAAATACATTCTTTATTCCTTATATATATAAAATGTTATTGAAATTACTAATAGAGTATGCTAAGCTTTGAATGCTTTTAGCTTACCCCTCTACTCATTCAAATTTGCATAGTTAAACCCTTAAAATATATAAAACTTTATCTAGTCTAAGAAATTCCAATCAAAAATTGCAGCATTGTCTCGCTTACAGAAGTAAATCTACCAAACCGCAGCTGATGCAATCACAAAGTTATTATAAACAGAGTATTACGCCCCTATTAAGAGAATTTTTAGCACCTTTCGTCGTCTGCAGCAGGACCTTATGCCAAATCAGAGCTGCGCTGAGGAAAAAAAAAACAGAAATACCCAAAACAAAAGTACGTTAAAGCAAAAATAAAGAGAAAAAACTCATTACACCGGTCGGGCCGGGCCCAACAATGCAAGCGGGAAACCAAGGAAACGGCACAAGGATTGCATCTGCGTTGTCGCTCGGGCAGGCAGCACAAATCAGTTTCTGTCAACCGGGTCGAGTCGGATGCTGATGCTGATGCCGATGTAGATGCTCGGCTAATGCTGTTGAGGGTGTTGGCTGGCGCGTTGGTGGCTTGGCATTGACAGCTGCTCCTTTGGCGCGTCTCGTCAGCGTCTTGGCCAGGGATTTCTTCCTTTTTTTGGCAAGACGTGCATCTGTTTGCACAGCCAACAGCTAGACTGAGAGAGAGAGAGAGGAAGAGAGCGAGGCTGAACTCGGACGTTGACTTGCATCTGCAGACGCACAATGGGCACACCGAGTATAATTCAAGCAAAAAGGAACAAAGCATCAGGATCGTCATCAAAATAATCACAGCCAGAGCAGGGGAGCGTCATTGCCTTGCTGCTACGAGCATGTGACAAACAATAGTGCACCACCGCCACCACCATCCTCATCATCATCAGCAGCATCAGCTTCGGCAGTCGCCAGCGCCTGCGCTTCCTTGCGAGGTTTTTGGCGGCATGCCGCCATCATCCACGAAGGCATCCTTAACGTGGTACCTGAGCCAGAGCCCTTTGTTGTGCCCGGGCTGCCTTTTGATTTTGCATTTGTTGAATTTCATACAACATAAGCCCCCGCTAGGCAAATGCAACCGCAATTGTTTGGCTCGGCTCGCGTTTTTTTTCCTTTTGGCATGTGCACAAAGGTAGGTAAATGAGTTTCGTTCCGATTTGCTCTTGTTCTTGTTATGCAGATGCACACAAATTGCATAACAGCAGCTGCCCCATCGGCATTTGCAAAATATTTTTGCAGGTGGCTTCAGCGCGAAGAATAAAATTTTGAGATATAAAAAATATATATTTAAATCAATTTAAATTTATTTCCGTGTCGCTTAGAGTAATTAAAGGCTGCAACAGAGATCAAATCTAAGCGTTCTCATGAAAAAACCAACTTAATTCGTGGGAAAAACCACCGAAACCCAAATAAAATCCTTCGTAGAAATTGCCAATCCTTTGAATTGTTAACATAATGTGCCCACATTAACAAACTGGACATTTACAAAAACCAAAAAGAAAACATGAAAATGCTGGATTTCGAGAGAAAATTATAATAATACAACAATGAGCCCAGTTGACAAACTCGCGTATTTACAATTACAAATTACACAAGTTTATCGAGCATTAGTTGCCTGACAAATGATCAACGCCTGCGCTGGGATGGGTCGAATAATCAATACAAACGCGTTAAAGTGAGAACAATCAATCCAGCGCGTTCTAACGATTTACATGTCAACTTGACAGACAAACAGATGGACAAGCCTCTGAGACAATGGTCAGGAATTTGGAGACTGGCGCTACATATACACACATATATATATATATATATGTAGATAGTTAATGTGCTGGCGCAGCGTGTGTGTCCAGGTGTCCCTGCATGCATTTCACTTTCATTTGTCAGTGGCGTTTGACACCTTGTCGTACAGCCATTGCAAGTTGAGATACCCATCTAAAGGGTAGACTGGGCCATGCCTAGCCGCATTGTGACTGGCTCTCAGTGCTGTGCAAACACAGTTGTGTCGGCTTTCAAAGTTTCCCTTCAACTGCTCCTGCTCCTCTGCTTTGTGAGCAATCCACAAAATTTCGATTATGCTCGCGTGATAATTATGCATGGCAACTTATGGGGCAATCGCATCACAAGCTTCTGGACTGCCGATGACAATCGGTTTCATTGTTTCCGTTTCCCACCACTCGGTTCTGTATAAATTGCGTCTTTGGAAATGGGTCTGGCCTTCTTGTATACCTTTGGCAGCCCCACAGAACCCCCTCGTCCCCTCGTCTACGTCGACAACCGGATCAGCCAGCCCAGACAGTCAGCTGCATGGCAGACCGTGCGGCTGGCAGTAAATTTGATGGTTTAACTACACTCGACAGTTCTGCTATTTAACCTTTTGTGCAACGCTTATCGAAGCTCTAACGAAACCTTTCCGCATAGATCCCCCTGCCGCTAGCCATAAACGATTGCCCCACGTGCGTTTTGTTGACTCGAGTCTGGCCCTGTTTGTCGTGAATCTGTGTATATGTTAATTCATGCCAAGTGTTCCGATAATAAATAAGCGAGTCCATTTCTCAAAACCGACCTCACTATTGAGGGTAAAGCTGATCACCGTTCATAATATTATGATAAGGTTCACATAGTCTTTAAATCACAACATCAAGTATTACTCAAGAGCGAAATGCTGCAGCTTGAGTCAGTAGTTGTTGAAAGGAGACTTTTAATGCATTAGTTGAAGATTGTTTTGAGTTGTACAAGTTTAAATCATAGGGAAATAATGAAAGATTTTTTAAGTAGCAGTAAAATTGTGTTTATTAGATAGGAAGTTGTATGACATTAATGCTTTGTTATGATTTTAGCCATGAGGTGCTATGTGCAACACTAGTTTTTACTACCTCATTTGCTATCTCTATTTACATCAAGCCGAGACACGTCGTCCACCAAAAATTGACTTCACTTTTCTGAAGGATATTTGACACAAAATTTTAACAATTTGCAAGCGTTGCTCTGGTGTTAGCCTAGTCTTATAAAATGTCAAGCCAAACTTAATAAATAGCCACTATCAGCTGTGAAAAAGCTTATCAAATAAAGCAATGTTGCCTACGCAATGTTAAGAAACACATTTTATATTATAATATATGATAATATATTTAAATATATTTTAAGAATGAGAATCTTAAAAATATAATTTATACTTATCAAAGACTTTATTCTATTAAAAATAACTTTTAAAATAACTTGAGGTTCACATATAGCGTATATAAAATATATATATATTAATATAAGAGAAACGCTTCTTTTCAGAGTTAATTGGCTTAATAATCTATGTGTTTCCCATATATGTAAACGGTCTAGACTATAGACCGAACTCTAACAAACTATATTGATCATCTTATATTTGGAACATAGTTCTTCTAAGATTTTAGATACACTAAAACCTGCTCAATAATCATAGAATGCAACATTGTCATAAAATGTTTCATTCTTTTTGTTCTTAAATAGACTTCATTGAGAAAAAAATCAGTTAAAGATTTTCTATATATATGGTTGTGGACTGATGTATCTAGTTATTAGTTCTCAGTTGGGCAGGCTTGGAAGTTTTTCTCATTTATTTAGTCTTTAGCATTTAATTTACATGCACGTCCTGCTTTGAAGCCCCTCAAAATCATTAAACACATAAAACAAAAGAAAATTCATATAAATTCAATTTCACGTTGGAAAGTTTGATCGAGCGGATTATAGACGAAGTTTAGGCTATCTGAACATGGAGGAATATTCTCGTGAACCCTGCCCCTATCGCATCGTGGATGACTCTGGCGGTGCGTTTGCCATGGGCTCGATTGGTGGTGGCATCTTTCAAGCGCTAAAAGGATTCAGAAACGCTCCGCAGGGACTCAGCCGTCGCCTAGTGGGCAGCATGATAGCTGTGAAATCTCGCTCGCCTGTGATAGCTGGCAACTTTGCTGCCTGGGGAGGTATGTTCAGCACCATTGACTGCACCTTGGTGCACTTTAGGCAGAAGGAGGATCCGTGGAACTCAATAATCAGCGGAGCGGCCACAGGTGGCATTTTGGCGGCACGTAATGGTCTCGCCTCCATGGCAGGTAGTGCCATCATTGGCGGCATTCTGCTCTCATTAATTGAGGGCGTTGGCATCCTCCTGACTCGAATCTCCGCAGAACAATTTCGAAATCCAGCGCCACCTATTGAACCGCAAGATGCCGGTGTTAACATTTTGGAACCGGACTCACCTAAAGCATTTGGTTTTGGCACCCGAACACAGAATGTTAATTCCTAAATTAAATTTGTTGACAGTTATAAACCTTGGACCTTTATCCGATATATGCGATCGAATCGTATCAAAATTATTTTTAACCCTTAAGCCCATTTGGTTAACGTATGGTACATGATGATATGAACATCAGACGTAAATTATATTTACTAGAGACTATATTGATTGAGATAGTTAATTCTAGACTTCGACTATAAGAGATTTCAAGGTGCTCTTAAAAATCGAACGAAAAGCCGCAATTAAACAGAAACCTTAAGATCTCTGTAAATTAGATAAGTTATCTTCAATTTTACTATCAATTGATGCCGCTGAAGTATCTTTCATTTGACTCGACAGCTTCTCAAGAGGTCCTTTTAGTATGCAAACGCCTAGTCAATTCAACAGGTAGTTAACTGGACACACGCGCACACACTTGCCACGCGTCAGCAGCAACAGGCTGTATTGGCAACTGTTTACCTGTTGCTGCTGCTGCTGTCGCCGTGTTTACCTGTCGCTCTGCATGCGAGTCTAAGGGCATGCGCCTGCGCCGGCGCATAGAGTCAAGTGTCGCTCATTGGCTGGCCGGTGCTGGTGATGGTGGTGGGTGTGGCATTTGCCTTTACAACCTGTGCACTCGAAATGACCACAGTTGAGCTAGCTGATGCTGCGTGAGCTGCTAATAGTGATCGGCGGCCCAGCGGCTACTGTCTTCAGTCGCCGTTGTGGCTCGGCTCAGCCTCGTTTGACGCCTCAGGTACTATGCGAGTCACAGTTTTCCCAGGGGCTGTGCAAAAAACCAATAGCAAGGATTTCCCTCACACATGGACAACGGTGGGAAAAAGTCGCCTTTGCCCAGCCCAGTTATAAAATCGCTCTTTATTATAATGTTGCTAATATCGAGAGGCAGCGACGCCAGGAATTACCACATGGAAATTTTTTGAATAGCCAGCAGACAGCTTGGTGCCCGCCGACTGTGGGAAGATCCTATAGCACGAACCAGCGAACCAACGGCGCAACATATGCAACTGTGACTCGTGTGTTTTTCTTCTTTTCTCCAGTTTCTTTTTTTGCGCATTTCGTTCTCATTTTCTATCCAAGCGCCGGTGTTCGCGTAATGTGTGAAATTTGTGTTCCTTGAGAAATCCCTTGGCCATGGTACACGCCTGGAACCGGCGCTACGGGAAAAGCACAAAGCGAGAATCTACCGTTGAAATTCACATTATCATGTGGCACAACAACAGATCGCACCTACATGCTTGTCACATTGGTACGTGCTCAACTTGGCCTGGCATAGGACGAGTCCATGTTCATATATGTGCCACGTTCTACGTCCTGTGCCATGTGGCGTTGCGCTTGTTTTCCCAATTATCTGAGCATACGCTGGCCAAAAAGGTAGAGGCGCTAGAATTTGTTTACCAAGGCCCTGCCGGAGTTTACATTTGTTGGAAATTCACATTTCATCAGCCATGGGAACCAGCCTGAGAAGTCGAAGGTAGAACAGCAAACAAAAAAAAAACAAGTCTATTCAATGCGTATACTAACTAGAGACATATCTCAAATTTAGCTATATACTTTTGTATTTCATAAAAATTCTCTCTCTAATCGATTTGAAGCTCACTTTATAAACTGAAAGCCAACAAGAAATTTTTATAATGCAAATCATTCAGTATCTTAACGAAAACGATGTTTCATTTGGGTAGCATCTAAAGTCTAGAAGATGGCAAAAAAATATTATTAAAGTTGACTGAAAGATATAGATAAATAGAAATACTAGAATACTAAAAATGATAACTGAAAAACTAAGCTTTGTTAGACAATAGCCAGGCAAATGCGCAAGATGAACAGAGATGCTTCCAGCTTTATCTTTACACAATAAACATGCATTTAGATTCAACTAGAATTTATCAAGTATAGATCCAGAAGAGGTACACATTACACTGTCGGCTCAATTCTCACACCTATGCCAACGCCTGGTGAGGCAGGGCAGAGCAGGGCAGGGCAGGACGTCAGGGCAGGCACAGAGTGCATAAGTACACATGTTGGACATATGCCATGGGCTGGCCAACAACATTATGTGGAAGATGCTGGAACGGCAACTAGAAATGGGATTGGTAATGGGTTTGGACTGAGTCTCTCTCCGTGTGAAATGGAATTGATTTTTTGCATGCTGCGCCCGCATGGCGCTAAATGCTAGCCATTTGGCATGGACAAAAGGCTTGGGAATTGTTTTTGCTTGTTTTACTTAGAGATTTGGCTGAGCGATTGCCGAGCTGCGTTGGTCTGTGGATGGGCGAGCCCGCAGCCAGCCTTGGCACATGTCAATGTCAAACATTGAACCGCATTCGAATCGAACGATGCGCATTAAAGGAATTTCGCCGACTTGATGGCACCTTTCGATGTGGCTTGCATTAGAATTGTGTTTGCATTTTGTACGCATTTCGTATGCTCGAGTTTCGGCGCCAAATATCTCATGCATATATGACACACATTTCGAATAGCTCCAGAGTTCTGAGCTGCGAGTTCGGGCTTTTAGAGTTCTGAGATGTGGGAGATCTGCAAGCGGAATGCATTGATTACGCGTATTCGAGTATTGTGTATTTGGGCATTTAGAATATCTTAAAAGCTTAGCGCATAAATTAACCGACTTCTATCCAGCAGTCGGTCAGTGGAAGTTCAAGGTGCTGTAGCCTGATCCGATCTCTGCTATGCTGTGCTGCTCGCTATGGCGACTACTGTACTACACAATGCCTCCCCACAGCACGAGCTGGCCCTGAAATAGCGCTCGGTGCAATGCACCCTATATTGGAGCCATACCGAGCGCTGGCCAGTGGTCAGCCAGGGAGTAGTATTCGCATTGCAATAGTTTTGCGGCGCAATGACTTTTTGTGACAAAATACTCGTCCGCATGGCGACTTCTAATTTGCATCTGATCTGATCGCATCGATAATCGTTTCTCAATTTTCGACTGCCGCTTCATATGCATGCAATGTGCCATCCAAAAGCTAATTTGCGTTTTTTTGGCTGATGAAACCAATGAAATCATGTATCTTTCACTCTGTCACTCTCAGCCCCGCTCTCTCTCTCTCTTTTAGTCTTCTTAGTTAAAGATTGAAGCGAGCTTACTTTGACCTTAGCCCAGTATTACAGCCATCATTTGTGGGGCAGTTCCATTGAACTCATCAATATAACATTATTTTTACTCGACATCAAGAAAATGTAAATACCACGCAGTCAGCTTCAGGTGTGTTCGGCTGCATAACCAAACGATTTCTTGGAAATTGCGACGTTTCCAATGCCAAAGCATTGTCTGGGGACTTTCCTCGCTAAATGAAAGTGAAGCTCTTTCAATTTGGAATAACCCACAAAGGCATCCAAAGTAAATTGACGCAGGCATATAATTACTATACGTACCCTAAGCTGAAATTTAGCCTTGATATGAAAGCTTGAACTTCTTGAGGGGCTTGTGATGCTTTACCAGCAGAGTGAACGACACTGTCTGATACCACATTGGCTAGGAAATATTTCATAGATATCTACTTTAACTGAGAGTATTTTTAATATGATCATAAGAATTTCGAAGCATAATATAACACTAGAAAATCAGCTAAGAAAGTCTCTGCTTATTCGGAGACTTTCGACTGGAATATATAATAGTATCAATAAATTACAGACTTTCGAAGTTGGTTAAGAGCTTAGGTAAATAGTAAAGTAAATTATGGTTCGTGCTTATTCTGCAATAATAATAATTATTCTGTATAATAATAATAATATAAAATGAAAAAATAATACAATAAATATAATAATATGTAGAATACACAGAGAAAAAATGATTAAAGTCAAATGTCTTCAATTTTATGAATTCCTTGAACTCTAGTCTAGCCAGCATAAAAATCAAATCTGATATCATAAAAATGAATTAAAAGCATTCCATATACTCACTTTACAATCTTCCTGACAACTCACCTTACATTTTATATATTCTATAGCCCTAACACTGCCTTGACTAGCCAAAAGTTGAATAACCGATTTCAATCACAAGTTGAAAGTCGCAATTTATCTTGGCAGTTGCACTTTCCTAAATATATTTGCCGAAGACAATCCGTTGATGCCTGCCCATTGCTCATCAGGCAGCACTTTGTCTCTAGTCACAATGGAGGCAACAATCTAAAGTCGCGCCATGAACCTGATACTGTCTGTGTGAATCCGTTACAAACTCGTGAACCGCCAAGAGACACAGACGCAGCTACTGCACTGAAAGGAGAAAGGGCTAGAGAGCGAGGGGGAGGGGGGAGGGGGCGAGACGGGCAGGGCGAACAGTTGAGAGTTGAGGAGAAAAGTTCGTGACATGGCATCAACAGTTTGTCATTAAACATTTCGACAATAATTTGCTTTGTGCTCGTATTTATATGCACACTTAAGTGTATTTGTATTTCATTTTTTATTCGCATTTTCTACGCCGACTTCCCGAATTGTAACCGTAGACAGTGGCCAGAGTCGAGGAGTCGGTTGAAATTGTTATGGCAGGTAATTTACATAAAAATAAGTGGAATACGAAGAGCCGGAGCAGCACTACTTACAATTCTGATTAGCCAGAGAGACCTGTCTATTGTAGTGCTAGCAATGGAAAAACCTCGCCACGAAAGGCGCCTTTTGTTGTACGTAAATACACTGTGACTTTTTGGCTTTTGTCTGTCATAGTTTTTTTTTTGTGGAGCAGCTGCTCAGACTTCCTAAAGGTATTAAAAATATTAAATGGGAAAAAATAAAAAAGCGGGAAAAATTGAATATTTAGCTACTTGTTGCCGTATCAATTGTTATGCATATGAGCTTTGCTCAGGTTGCGTATACGCCATGTGTGCTGTGCCCATAACATGTGTGAACTCTAGACAGATAGACAGACAGGCAACCCTTAGCCTGAGCTCTAGTCTGTAGACAATAGAGGTGGCTGCTGGTGCTGCTGATACGAACACTCTGTCCGTCAGTTAGTCTGTTAGGCTAGCAGTCGGGCCCTGACCCGCTTAGTTAGCGTTATCTGCATCGTTCAGAGTCTGCGCCAATAAAACAAATTAAAGTCAACAATTGACGGCAGTTAGGACCTGAAGCTACTCGCCTTGAATTGACTGTTCGATTGAGTCTCGCTCTATCCCTCTGTCTCTCTCTCTGTCTGTCTGATATTCATGCTTTAACTTGAACTGCGCCTGAACGCCATCGTCTTATCAGCAACTGCATCGATTCGACAGTGGGTGCCGGGTCTGCAATTTGGCAATAATATTTTTCTAGCTGCAATT